TACGAGGATGTTCCAGCTAATAGCGAGTCAGCATTGCTAAAATCCGTGGCTAAACAACCAGTATCTGTTGCCATTGATGCTAGTGGATCCGACCTCCAGTTCTATAAGAGTGGAGTTTTCACTGGAGAATGCGGGACTGATCTAGACCATGGCGTTACTGCAGTCGGTTATGGGACAGCTAGTGATGGTACTAAGTATTGGTTAGTTAAGAATTCCTGGGGAACAAGTTGGGGTGAGAATGGATACATCAGAATGCAGAGGGACATTAACGCTGAGGAAGGACTTTGTGGCATTGCGATGCAAGCTTCTTATCCAACTGCTTAAAACAGCAAGATAAGAAGCTGTTTCCAACAAGAATTCGTTGTTTCACCTTGTGTATATCTGTTGTCAAAAATACTTCCTCATGCTTATGTAAATACGACTTGTATGAAATTTATATGAAAACGACAGGCTATGATCGCCAGCAATTTGTATAATTACGTCAAGTATCTACGTTGTTCTGAAACGAATCGCAAGATAATGGCAATAATGCAATAAAGAAGTAGAAAACAAAAGCACATAAATTTACGTGGAAACCCAATTCGGGAAAAAACCACGAGCGGAGGAGAAGTCTTTTGCCTCAGCTCCGCCATCCCATTCTCACTCATATGCCCGAGCCTCATATTCCAAAGTCTTGTAACTTCATCATCCATCAAAGAAGAAGTAGAAACTGCTACATCTCTAATCTCTGTGGAACTGTGCAAAATTTACAACTGTGTAGAGTTTTTATGCCCCTTTATGACAACAAGAGCACCCTTGCTCACCTTCAAAACTCCACATTCACTGATGTATCTGTAGTCCTTTAAGTCAAGTGTACTTAAAGATATGAGATTCTACTTCAGTTCTGGGACATATCTTACATCTGTAAGTGTTCTGCAAACTCCATCGAACATCCTGATTCTGATTGTGCCAACTCAAACAATCTTGCAAGGCGAGTTGTTTCCCATAATCACAGCACCTCTCGAAACTTGTTAGGACACATGAAAAGTACAAGCCGAGTCAAGAACCCATGGATCACTAGATTTAGTATCTCCGTTAGAAATTACAAGAAGCTCTCCACCACTTTGCTCATCCTCCACTGCATTAACATATTGCTTCCCTTCCTCTGTAGCACCAACAGCTTTATTTCTATTTTTCAAGACAAAACAATCAGCTCTAATATGCCCATTCTTCTTGCAGTAATGACATGTCTTCTCAGCATGTCTAGACTTCGATCTGCTCCTCAAATTTCTGCCAAGATTCCTACCTTGATTCCTCCCATGCACAACCAAGCATTCAGCATGATTTTCAGATCCTCCAACAAGATGCCTCATCTTCTCTTTAGATAGTAAAACATCATAGACCTCTTCCACAATAAGAGTATCTCGACTATAGAGAATATTATCCCTAAAAGTCACATATGATGGTGGCAGTGAACACAACAACATCAAAGTCAAATCCTCATTGTCATACTTAACCTCCAATGTCTCCAAATCAGTCACAATTTCTTTGAACATAATTAAGTGATCATCCAATGATATACCTTCAGAGATCCAATGAGAATACGAGCGTTGTTTCAAGTATAGCTTACTGGTCATGCTCTTTGTCATGAAATGTTGCTCCAACTTCAACCACAATGCAGCTGCACTCTTCTCCTTAAGAACATGTTAAAGAATTTGATTCGAGAGATGTAGATGAATTTGAGATTGGGCTTTCTGATCCCTACACCGCTTTTCATTCTGCGTCCAGGTAGCAGACAACTTATCAAAGTCAAGCAAGGCTTTCTCCAAATCCATCTGCTCCAAAACCACTCGCATCTTCACTTGCCATAATGTGAATCTCATGTTTCTATCCAACAACGGAATGCCATACTTCATTGTCGCCATGCGGAATAAGCAACTTTGAACTCTAATACCACTTGTTATGAAACAAAGCGCAAAATAATGGCAGTAATGAAATAAAGAAGAAGAAAACAAGAATACAAGAATTTACGTGAAAATCCAATTCGGGAAAAATCCACAGGCATAGGAGAACAATACACTATAATCAATAGTTTTGTATTTACAATATTAAGATTTCAATAATCTCAATTGAAATCTAAACTCTCAATCTCTCAATATGTTGTTGAAGATGTAAAGAATGATAAATGAATGTTATATTATGAAGATACAAAGTGGATATTTATAAAACCTCTTATTTGAGTCCAAAATGGAGAAGGAATCCAAAATATGCCTTTAGCCATCCAAGAGCCCTTCTTCAAGCCAAACTCCAAATTATTATTGAAATTTGATCTTCAATCATATTAGAACTCTACAAACTCAGATACCTTAGACTTTCTCTAATTAACCAAATACCAACTTAAATGAAATTTGGATTACACCACAACATACACATTCTTAAAAAATGATTTCAAGAAACTTCATACAGGGATATTCCATCAACTAGATAATGTGATTTCCATTCTAAAACTATCTTGCCAGTCGCTGACTGCTTCTGAATACCAGAACAAGCATTGGAGCATTGTTCCTGAAAGATTGTGTTCATTAGTTCATGCATATTGTTACAACCCATTTTAATTAGTCAAAAGTCAAAGGTGAAATTGTCAAAGTCAACGTCAAATACGGACTTAATTAGAATAAATCATTTGATTGAGACTTATTTTATAATTGAAAATATATGAGGGTTTTAAATGGATTAGATTTGAAGTTGAGGACTTACTTATTTATCGTTGGAAGTTAAGGGGCTTCCTTTGCAAAAAGCCCATTAACTTGGCATTTGAAACCCATTTCTCATTTTCACATCCACACACACGACTGAGTGCAGAAACAGAGACCGATAAAGAGAGGAAAAGAAGAAGAAGAAGAAGAAGAAGAAGAAGAAAGGGGTATTGAAGCTTGAATTTCATTTTTCATTCTTTTTATTTTCTTCAAGAGGTGGAGATATATTATGTTAAATTTCTAGAGTTTTAACTTGGTTGGAAATTTCAATTTTAGGGAAAGGATTATGATTTCTAGTTCAAGCTTCTTGATTGGTTAGTTTCCATTTGAATCAAGTTAAGGAATTTTATTTTTGGCAAACCTTAGAATTTTTATTTGGATTCTTAAATAGGGATATTTGGTAGAAATAATTGTAATGATGAAAAAACACTTGAAATAATGATTTTATGGAACAAGATGTAAATTAAATTGGTTGTAGTATTAGTTGCTAGTTTTCACTAGATTGAGATAGGATAATTATTCTTATGTTTGGGATAAATGTTATGTTGATGAATTCGTTATTAGTAAAGGCACTAGAAAGTAAAATTAGCTCAAATTGATTAAAGGAAAATTTGGGAAATTTATCCAAGTATCGAGAAATTTAGTTCAAGTATTATGACATTAGATATTAAAGATTTCTGGATTTGATAGCGGTTAAATTGGTTATCTTGTATGACATTTTAGGTGGTGACGAAGAGATTGGAAAAGCTTACCGAACGTCATAGTCTGTAGCTTGTTTCTGTGAGTAGAGAACTTACTTTTCCAAAAATAAGATTTTTAACTTATAAACTTATAATTATGTTTACTTAATATGAATGTTGAAATGATTCTCAATTTTTAGAGAAGCATATTAATTACATGAAAGGTATTATTTTTGATAAATTAGTAAATGGGCATGATTATTTTGAAACCATCAGAAAATACCTGATGTAGTCATCTTACTCTAGTGCACTGAGCGGCTAAGGCCGTGTACTAGAGTCGTGTATTTGACTCCTATACATTGAGGGGCTACATCCGTGTGTAAAGGTAACTCTTATCCACTGAAGGGCTAGGTCGTGTGTAAGGGTACCTATTATGCACTAAGAGGTTACAGTCGTGTATAAGGATGATTATGTTATTTCCACTTTATACACTGAGGGCTATAGCCGTGTGTAAAGGTAGCTCTTATCCACTGAGAGGCTACGGCCGTGTGTAAGGGTACCTATTATGCACTGAGGGGCTACAGCCATGTATAAGAATGATTATATTATTTCCACTTTATACACTGAGGGGCTACGACTGTGTATAAATGTAACTCTTATATACTGAGGGGCTACGGCCGTGTGTAAGGGTACATATTATGAATTGAGGGGCTACAGCCGTGTATAAAGATGATTATGTTATTTCCACTTTGAGCACTGGGGGACTAGGACCGTGTACAGAAGTGTTGATCAGATAGTTGATGTGCATATGATTTTATAGCTTTCAGATCATCAGCAGATGATTACATGGGGTATATTTTGATGTGTTATCCAGTATATAGTAGATTATTAGCTTTCAGCTTACATTTTCCACCTTACAGTTCGGCTTATTGATTTCAAATCATGGTTTTAGCTTACTGAATTCGACTAATGTATTTACTCATCTTGATGTATCAATTATTATCATTTTTAGATACAAGCTCGAGTCTAAATTATGATTTAGCACCAGCATTATGATTTTATACGATGTTATGATACATATTTTGGTCAGAGGTCTTTGGACCTACTCTTGTACTCACATAGGTTTTGGGTCATGTGCTAAGGTGATTAGCCCTTGGGGCATTTCTGTGTACGTATGATCAGATTATTAGATTTGAATTACCTTACCTTGTACATCAGATTACACTGTACATGAGTAAGACTATTCATTGGGTACTTATTGATGTGACTCTTTAGTATATCATATTATATTCATTTAGTTGTAGATTCGTAGATTTCAAATATTAGATAATAGTTCATTTCAAAATATAGAATTCAGTTTATTTAGTTATAGAAATATGAGTTGAACTTATAGAAATGACAACTTTACTCAGATTTTTGTTGATACCAGATTTTCTATAATCGATATATTTTATGGTTGATTATTCAGAATAAGAGTAAGGATTTTATGATTTTAGTATATTCAGTTCTAAAAGAAATTATCAGAATTTAGAATTTATTAAAATTATAAGAAAATAAATTAGAAATTCTAGTAAACATGTATAAATGGAATAAGTATATGTATTTGCGAACTATCCACTTACTGAGTTTGGTTGGTTATTCAAAATAAAGAGTAAGAATTTTATGATTTTAGCATATTTGCGTTCTAAAAGAAATTATCAGAATTTAGAATTTATTAAAATTATAAGAAAATAAATTAGAAATTCTAGCAAACATGTATAAATGGAATAAGTATATGTATTTGCGAACTATCCACTTACTGAGTTTCAAGCTCATAGATATTGTTACCTTTTTTCATTAACAGGTAATAGCCGAGTTGAGCAGCTTTAGAGCCGTCGATCTACCGAGTCGAGTCACACACATTGTCATT